CCCCAAAACCCCAAAACCCCAAAACCCCAAAACCCCTTTATTTGATATACATATTGATATAAATAAATACCTTATGCTTCTTGTTCTTCAAATTCTACCAGCTTTGCACCTATCTGGACAAATTCTGTCTCAGCAGTATGCACTTCCTTGATAACACCATCCTTTTCTGCTTTGATAAGGTATTCCATCTTCATTGATTCAAGAGAGAGGAGGTTTTGTCCTTTCTTAACTACTTCTCCAGGTTTTGTGAAGATTTTTACAATCTTTCCTGGCATTGGTGATGAAATGAGGTTAGCTGAGTTAACTCCTTCTTCGCCACTAAAGTCTTCAACTTTTTCTTTGAGTTGTACAATATCTCCATTTTCTCTCTTAGAATGGACTGATCCTTCGGCATCAATGAAGTATTCAACCTTGAGCATTTGGGAGTCTGACTCGATTATGACGTTATTATCATCGACCCAGGAAGTACTGAGATGAGTCCAGTCAGAGCTGGAGTCTTCAGTGACTTCTCTCACTTTGAACTGATTGTTTGACTCATAGATAACTTCTACAGTATATTCTGTATCATCATTGTCAAGGAAACTGAACTTCCTAGTACTACTGTGATTGATTCTGAATGCATCCTGGGTGTGCCATGGGTTGCTGTGAGAATAGGCGTGTCCAGATTCACTTTCAACATCTACTTTCCTCTTTTCATTTAGGATCTGAATTAGAGCACTATGGAAAAGATCTTTCTGTGTTGGGATAATGTTGGTAAATGGTCTGTCAAATAAGGAATCTTTATATTTCTCAATAAAATCAGTATCATAATTGTTCTCAAGGAAGGCTTTTTCCTCAAGTGCTTTCTTAAGGAATGTAATGTTATTTTTCAAACCAATGATGTTATAGTTGTCTAATGCATTATACATCTTCTTAATAGCATCATCTCTATTTTTCCCATGGACAATTAGCTTAGAGATCATTGGATCAAAGAAAATAGAAACATCGTCTCCTTCTCTGACTCCAGTATCAACACGGACGTCATTATCAACAATGGCACTTTCTCTATTGTTTGGCTCTCTAAGATAATGGATAGTACCACTTTGGGGTAAGAATTCGCTATCAGGATCCTCAGCATAGATTCTTGACTCAATAGAATGACCATTAATTTTCAATTGGTTTTGTGTTAAAGGTAATTTCTCTCCTCTTGCCACTCTTAATTGCCATTCGACAAAATCTTGTCCGGAAATTTCTTCCGAAATTGGATGTTCAACTTGAAGTCTTGTGTTCATTTCCATAAAGAAGTATTCATCTGATATTGTGTCAAAGATGAACTCAACTGTTCCTGCATTGTAGTATCCAACTGCTTCAGCTGCCCTTACGGCACTGTCACCTATCTGCATCCTCATTTCTGGAGAGAGGAAAGAAGGAGCTTCTTCAATAATTTTCTGATGTCTTCTTTGGATAGAGCAATCTCTCTCAAAGAGGTGGACGTAGTTCCCGTGTCTATCTCCAAAAACTTGCACTTCGATGTGCTTTGGCTTTTGGATAAACTTCTCAACAAGCATCTGGTCATCAGAGAAACTTTTCATAGCTTCTCTTTTAGCCTGCTCCAAAGCTGGATAAAAATCTTCCTTTTTGAAGACTGTTCTCATACCCTTTCCACCTCCTCCAAGGACAGCTTTGATGAGGACTGGGAACCCTATCTTTTCAGCTTGCTCGAAAAGGAACTTCTCGTCTTGGTTTTCTCCGTGATAACCTTCTACGACTGGAACATTGGCATTCTGCATAACATTTTTAGATTCACTTTTATTTCCCATAGCACTAATTGCATTCGATGGAGGCCCAATAAATATAATATTGTTCTTCTCCAGAAGATCTACGAAGTTACAGTTCTCAGAAAGGAACCCGTACCCTGGATGGATGGCATGAGTGCCCGTCATCTGGGCTATTTTCAAGATCTTGTTCATATTAAGATACGAATCAGCAAGAGTGTTAGATCCTATGTAGTAAGCTTCATCCATCATCTCTACATGTTTTGCACCTCTATCAGCATCATTATAAAGTCCGACTGTCTTTATGTTCATTTTCTGTGCTGTTCTTACAATTCTGCATGCGATCTCACCTCTATTAGCGATGAGGATCTTGTTCATGAGGAGATTGTTCATTTTTATATATATTACTTCAACCCTACAAATTAATAAGGGGTTTTGGGGTTTTGGGGTTTTGGGGTTTTGGGGTTTTGGGGTTTTGGGG